CAGGTCCCACTTGTTTACTTTTGTTTTTATTATACATTATTCTAGGAGGGTGGGTCATAGAGAATCTTGCTTCTGCTTATGTTTTCCTCTAAGAGTTTTATAGCTTCTGGTCTTCCATTTATGTCTTTAATCCATTTTGAGTGTATCTTTGTGTATGGTGTTAGGAAGTGCTCTGATTTAATTCTTTTACATGTATCTGTCCAGTTTTTGCAGCACCATTTACTGAAGAGGCTGTCTTTCCCCATTTTATATTCTTGCCTCCTTTGTCAAATAAGGTACCTGTAGGTGCGTGGGTTTATTTCTGAGCTTTCTATCTTGTTTCATTGGTCTGTATTTCTGTTTTTGTGCCAGTGCCATACTGTCTTGATGACTGTAGCTTTGTAGTATAATCTGACGTCAGTAAGGTTGATTCCTCCAGCTCCATTCTTCTTTCTCAATACTGCTTTGGCTATTTGGGGTCTTCTGTGTTTCCATATGAATTGTAATTTTCTGTCCTAGTTCTGTGATAGATGTCATTGATAATTTAATAGGGATCACATTGAATCTGTCAATTGCCTTTGGTAGTATAGACATTTTCACAATATTGATTCTTTCTACCGAGCAATGTGGAATATGATGCATCTGTGGAGTTTGGTATTAGATGGGGTGGAGTGCCTTGGAAGCAGCCCCCTTTGGTTACCAAGGGACCAAGGTATATAATATATGTGTGTGCATGCTTCTCTGGTGGCTCAGTAGTCAAGAATCTGCCTGCCATGCAGGAGACACAGGTTCAATTCCTGGGCTGTGATGTTCCTCTGGAGAAGGATATGGCAACCCACCCCAGTATTCTTGCTTGGGAAATCCCATGGACAGAGGAGCCTGGCAGGATACAGTCCATGGGGTTGCAGAAAAGTCAGAAAGAACTTAGGATCTAAACAACAACAATGTAATATATACTTTGTAATTGTTGATTAAAGCTTTTCCAAGATCAGTTCAATCGCTCAGTCGTGTCCAACTCTTTGCGACACCATGGACTGAAGTACACAAGGCATCTTGTCCATCCCCAACTCCTGGAGCTTGCTTAAACTCATGTCCATTGAGTCAGTGATGCCATCCAACCATCTCATCTTCTGTCATCCCCTTCTCCTGCCTTTAGTCTTTCCCAGCATCAGGGTCTTTTCCAGTGAGTCAGTTCTTCACATCAGGTGGCCAAAGTACTGGAGCTTCAGATTTAGCATCAGTCCTTCCAGTGAATACTCAGGATGATTTCCTTTAGGATTAACTGGTTTGATCTCCTTGCAGTCCAAGGGACTCTCAAGAATCTTCTCCAACACCACAGTTCAAAAGCATCAATTCTTCAGCACTTGGCCTTCTTTATAGTCTAACTCTACATCCATACATGACTACTGGAAAAACCATAACTTTGACACATGGTACTGACTAAATGTTAGCTCTTGTTATCATCATATATGTCTTTCTTATTCAGAATGACCTTAAATTGTCATGGTTATTTTTTTTTTTTTTTTGTCATGGTTACTTTTGACTAGTACATTTACATTTGACTAGTACATTTACATTTGGATCTTTTGAGCAGTAAGATACTTTGTGAGCTTTCATTTAATATTAAAAATCCAGGGTCAAAATAGTATTGAAAATACCAGGGACTTTAAGTGAAGCAAGCATAGTTCTGTTAGTTTTGTGTCTGAATCTTATTGTTTAATTTTGGCTTAATCTTGGCTTCAGTTTCCCATTTTGGAAAACTAATTGTTAATCTTAAAGGATTAAGAATATTGAATAAAATAGCTCTATAAATTGCTAATTATAAATTCTAATACTGTCAGGTCTGTTATATCACAAACTATGAAATTTGAGTCTCTAATAATTCATTTATTTATTAATGTTTACGTGTTAATAGGAATGGGAGTTTTACCAGATAGTGTTTTTCTCTAGTTTATTGCTTTAAAGGTCCAAAAAGATCTGCATTGATAGGGATGTAAGTTCTTAATTCCCCTTCATGGATCACAGTCTTGTTGTGGTGAAGGGGCTAGCATAACTCAATTAAGATATGAGCCAGGCCATGCAGGGTCACCTAAGATGGATGGGTCATAGTGAATAGTTCTGATAAAACGTCGTCCAGTGGAGGAGGGAGTGGCACCCCACTCCAGTATTCTTGATGTGAGAACCCCATGAACAGTATGAAAAGGCAAAAAGATATGACACCAAAAGATGAGTCCCCCAGGTCAGAATGTGTCCAGTGGGCTACTGGGGAAGAGCACTGGGTAATTAATTACTAATAGCTCCAGTAAGAATGAAGTGGCTGGGTCCAAGAGGAAACAACAGTCAGTTGTAGACCTCTCTGGTGGTGACAGTAAGTCCGATGAACAGTATATTGCTTAGGAACCTGGAATGTTAGGACCACCAGTCAAGGTAAATTGGACATGGTCAAGTCAACAAGAGAGTCTGAAATACAGTACTTGGGTGCAATCTCAAAAATAATAAGACGTTCTCAGTTTGTTTCCAAGGGAGACCAGTATTACAGCAATCCAAATCTGTGCCCCAGCCACTAATGGTGAAGAGCTGAAGTTGACTAGTTCTGTGAAGACCTACAAGACTTTCTAGAACTCACACCAAAAAAAAGATGTCATTCTCATCACTGGAGATTGGAATGCAAAAGTAGGAAGTCAAGAGATACCTGAAGTAATAGGCATGTTTGGCCTTGGAGTGCAAAATGAATCCAGGCAAAGACTGACAGTTTTGTTAAGACATGCTCATAGCATACACCCTCTTCCAACAACACAAGAGATGACTCTACACATGGACATTACCAAATGGTCAGTAACTAAGGCCGATTGATTATATTCTTGGCAGCTGAAGGTGAAGGAGCTCTATACATACAGCAAAAGCAAGACTTGGAGCTAACTGTGGCTAGATCATGAGCTCCTTATGGCAAAATGCAGGCTTAAATAGAAGAAAGTAGGAAAAGCTACTAGCCCAGTGAGGTATGACCTAAATCAAATCTCTTATGATTATATGGTGGAGGTGACAAATAGATTCAAGGGATTAGGTCTGGTAGGTAGAGTACCTGAAGAACTATGGACAGAAGTTCATAGCACTGTAAAGGAGGCAGAGACTAAAACCATCCCACAAAGAAAGAAATGCAAGAAGGCAAAGTGGTTGTCTGAGGAGGCTATACAAAAAGAAGTAAAAGGCAAAGGAGAAAGGGAAAGATATACCTAACTGAATGCAGAGTTCATGAAAATAGCAAGGAGGGTTAAGAAGGCCTTCCTAAATAAACAGTGCAAAGAAATAGAGGAAAACAATCGAATGGAAAGGAGATCTTGTCATGAAAATTGGAGGTATCAAGGGCCCATTTCATAGAAGGATGGGTACAATAAAGGACAAAAACGGTAAGGGCATAACAGAAACAGAAGAGATTAAGAAGAGGTGGCAAGAATACGCGGAAGAACTATACAAAAAAGATCTTAGTGACCCAGATAAACACAATGGTGTGATCACTCACCTAGAGTCAGACATCCTGGAGTGTGAAGTGAAGTGGGCCTTAGGAAACATCACTATGAACAAAGCTAGTGGAGGTGATGGAATTCCAACTGAGCTATTTCAAATCCTAAAAGCTGATGATGTCAAAGTGCTGCACCCAACATGTCAGCAAATTTGAGAAACTTGTCAGTGGCCTCCGAACTGGAAAAGGTCAGTTTTCATTGAAATCCCAAAGAAGGGCAAGCCAAAGAAGATTCAGACTACTGTACAGATGTGCTTATTTCACATGCTAATAAGGTTCTGCTCAAAATCCTTCACGGTAGGCTTCATTAGTACATGAACCGAGAACTTCCAGATGTACAAGCTGCATTTAGAAAAGGCAGAGGAGCCAGAGATCAAATTGCCAGCATTCGTTGGATCATGCGGAAGGCAAGGGAATTTCAGAAAGAAAAAAAAAAACGACGTATTATTTCTTTGACTATGTTAAAGCCTTTGACTATGTAGATCACAACAAGCTGTTGAAAATTCTTATAGAGATGGGAATAACAGACCACCTTACCTGTCTCCTGCGAAACCTATATGCAGGTCAAGAAGCAACAGTTAGAACCAGTCATGGAACAACTGACTGATTTAAATTTGGGAAAGGAACAGGACAAGTCTGTATGTCTCTCTGGTTATTTAACTTCTATGCAGACTACATCATAGGAAGTGGTGGGCTGGATGACTTACAAACTGGAATCAAGATTCCCTGGAGAAACATCAACAACTTCATATATGCAGATGATACCACTCTTAATGGCAGAAAGTGAAAAGGAACTAAAGAGCCTCTTGATGAAGGTGAAAGGGGAGAGTGAAAAAGCTGGCTTGAACTCAACATTCAAAAAACCTAAGAACATGGCTTCTGGTCCCATTACTTCATGGCAAATAGAAGGGGAAAAAGTAGAGGCAGTGACAGGTTTTATTTTCTTGGGCTCCAAAATCTCTGTGGACTGAGACTGCAGCCATGAAATGAAAATATGCTTGCTCCTTGTAAGAAAACCTGTCACAAACTATGTCAGCATGTTAAAAAAGCAAAGACATCACTTTGCCAACAAAGGATGTCTAGTCAAAGCTATGGTTTTTCTAGTAGTCATGTCCCGATGTGAGAGTTGGACCATAAAGAAGGCTGATCACCGAAAAAATGATGCTTTTAAATTGTGCTGGAAAAGACTCCTGAGAGTCCTTTGGACAGCCAGGAGATCAAGCCAGTCAATCCTAAAGGAAATCAGTCCTGAATATTCATTCAGACTGATGTTGAAGCTGAAGCTTCGATACTTTGGCCACCTGATGGGAAAGCTGACTCACAGGAAACAACACTGATGCTGGGAAAGATTGACAGCAGGAGCAGAAGGGGGCAGCAGAGGATGAGTTGGTTAGATATCATCACCGACTTACTGCATTTGAATTTGAGCAAAGTCCGGGAGATAGTGAAGGACAGGGAAGTCTGGAGTTCTGTATTCCGTGTGGTTGCAAAGTGTCAGATTCAACTTTTGACTGAAGAATAACAATAAAAAGTGCTTAATTTAGATTGTTGTAATCATTATCAAAATTTTTCCTCCACTTTCCCCCCTTTCTTCTCAGTGTATTTGCATGCTTAAATTTCTCCCATCTAAGCAAAACAAAATTCCTAAGCATATACATGGTCCTCTTGTTCCAACCTCACTGAACTTAAAAAAAAACTTTATATAAAATATGTTCGTTATCCTCTCTTAAAACCACTATAATCTGGCCTCTCCCTATCCCACCCTCAAACCATCAGTGACTTCTTTTCAGTCCTTACCTTACCTAAACTTTTTCAGCCTTTGATTATATGGGAGCTACTTCATTTTTGAAATTCTCTTCCTATGGCTTCCACCATCTCTCCCAATTAGTTTTCCTCCATTTCTCTCCCTGTTCTTTTTATGTTTTTTCTCAGCTCTAGAACTTTTTCACCTGTGTCTTATGTGATTTTGTAGCTATTAGAAAAGGAGGAAAAACATACATATTTTATAAACATAGTTTTACAGGTGACTTAAGAAGTATGCCTTGTGAGGTAAGAAATTACCATTGAAACAATAGCCATATATAATTATTGGTAGAAAGATTTTCTACCCTGCTCTAACTTGGAATATGTTTTTATCCTAGATCAGATGTTACCAACATTCTTTTTTGTTGTTGTTTTTTTTGGCCGCAACATACGGCTTGGGGAAATCTTAGTTCCTCACCAAGGATTGAACCCAGGACCCAGCAGTGAAAGCAGAGTCTTAACCACTGGACTACTAGGGAATTAACCTCAACAGTCTTAAGTAAAGATTTTCACCATTCTGATGATTTTCTCTGTAGCCCACTCTAACTTGGAATATTCTTTTGCATCCTAGATTGGATATTATCAACATTCTTAAGATTTGCACTGTTGTGATGACTTGGCACTGGGTGCTCAGACATTTGGTCAGATGGTTATTCTGGGTATGTCTCTGAGGGTGTTTCTGGATAAGATTAACACTTGAGTATATAGACTGAGTAAATTATTGCCACTTCTAATGCATGTGGGCCTCATCCAGTCAATTGAAGACCTGAATAGAACATTAATCATTTCCTGCCTTTGGCCTTGAACTGAAAAATAATCTCTTCCTAGGTTTCCAGCCTGCCAGCTTTCAGAGTAGAATTGACACCCTCAGCTGTCCTGGTTCTTAGGCCTTTGGATTCAAAGTGAAACTACACCATTGGCTGTTCTGAGTCTCTGACTAGCCAACCTTAATCTTGGGACCTCCACAACTTTGTGAGCCAATTATGTGTATGTATACACATATATACTATAGTTACATACACACATATACATATACACACACAACCCACGCAGATATAGCACATATCAGTTCAGTTCAGTTCAGTCACTCAGTCGTGTCTGACTCTGCGACCCCATGAATCGCAGCACGCCAGGCCTCCCTGTCCATCACCAACTCCCGGAGTTTACTCAAACTCACGCCCATCGAGTCGTGATGCCATCCAGCCATCTCATCCTCTGTCGTCCCCTTCTCCTCCTGCCCCCAATCCCTCCCAGCATCAGTCTCTTTTCCAGTGAGTCAACTCTTCACATGAGGTGGCCAAAGTATTGGAGTTTCAGCTTCAGCATCAGTCCTTCCAATGAACACCCAGGACTGATCTCCTTTAGGATAGACTGGTTGGATCTCCTTGCAGTTGAAGGGACTCTCAAGAGTCTTCTCCAATACCACAGTTCAAAAGCATCAATTCTTCGGCGCTCAGCTTTCTTCACAGTCCCAACTCTCAACTCTCTCATTCATGCATGACCACTGGAAAACCATAGCCTTGACCAGACGGACCTTTGTTAGCAAAGTAATGTCTCTGCTTTTTAATATGCCATCTAGGTTTGTCATGACTTTCCTTCCAAGGAGTAAGCGTCTTTTAATTTCATGGCTGCAGTCACCATCCGCAGTGATTTTGGAGCCCAAAAAAATAAAGTCTGACACTGTTTGCACTATCTCCCCATCTATTTCCCATGAGGTGATGGGACCAGATGCCATGATCTTAGTTTTCTGAATGTTAAGCTTTAAGCCAACTTTTTCACTCTTCTCTTTCACTTTCATCAAGAGGCTTTTCAGTTCCTCTTCACTCTCTGCCATAAGGGTGGTGTCATCTGCATATCTGACGTTATTGATAGTTCTCCCAGCGATCTTGATTCCAGCTTACCAGTAGTTTTATATATATAACAAATAGGCTTATAGCCAAATATATGGCCTATTGGTTTTTTTTCTCTGAAGAACTCTAATACAACTGTTTTCTGGCTTACGTTTCTTTGGAACTGCTCCCAAGCCTCTTATTATCTTTCTCCCTTTATGACACTTCATTCTTTGTGTTTGTTTGTTTGTAAGCTCAATTATATTGACAACAAATATTTTCAGTTCTTTTCCTCAAAATGGCGGGCTCTCTTCCTTTACTTTTGAGAATATCTGCCAGATACCCAAGATAGAATAGTCATAATGTGTCTTGTTATTTGACGTTCCATGTAAATGGTAGCTGCATCCGTGCTTTTCCTCAAGACGGTGTAGTTCTTGGGCACATAGCAGAAATGCTCTATATGGACTTCCCATTTTGTCACACAGAATTAAGAAGATGTATCCTTAAGGAGCAAGCTTTAATAAAATCCAGAATTTTTAGCACTTTACTAAGGACAATTTTAAGTGAAGTTGACTTTTCCCCCCTTCCGAGTGCTTGGGGTGAAGAATACAATAAATAGGTGTATTCCTTGATGGTAGCAATTTCATTCACATTTCTTTTGTTCCATTAGTGCAAGTGTCAGAATAGTGAGAAAAGTAACTACTTAATGTTTGTATGAAATAGTTTTAACTTCACAGACTCCTGAGAGGGTTTCAGGGAGTCTTGGTAGTCCATGGGCTAGAGAAACAGTTGGAGATGCTGTCTCACAGAATAGACGTGGTTGCTGATGATGAATTTGGGTGATACTTGACCTTCTTTCTCTCCCTTGTGATTTTTTTTTCATGATTTGTCAGCAACTGCGGTTCCATTAGATGCTTGTAGCATCTCTCTAAAGGAGAGTGGCAGAACAAATTTACCATTTGTTCCTTCATATTGTGTGTCTTGCATCTGCTTTGTTTGATCTTAGAAATTTGAAACCAGTAATGTCCTTTGAGACTTTATTTCCTAGATGGCAACAGTAAGGTTCTAAGATTTGGGGGTCAGAGAGAAAACAATAGCAACCTGGAAACAAAGCTTTGACCTGGCTGGAGTAAAACCATAACTATTGGTGCTTACATTTAGAGCCATTCCTTGAATATGTTTTTTCCAGAGCTATTTCTCATCATTACTGTGCCTTCCAACTTGTAAGGAGCTGATTTGGAATTTTCCTAAATTCAGATTTACAACATTTGGTAATAACATCGAATCTGTGAGGCACTCAGAAAGTGAGGCATTCTGTCAGAATCAGAAACAATTCTACTTCCCAAGACCTGTAATCACCCAATTTGAAACTCTTTGCATACTGGCAATATATTAAAGCATGTGTAGCATGCATAGAAGTGAAAATGGAAATTTACTACAGGAATCCTCAATTTATTATATTTCATGATCCTATACCTAAATCTGCAGAATGGGGCATCCATTTTTTATACCCTTAAAGATACTGTTTTTGAAAGTTTCGCTTTTTTCATCTCTACCTATTTGACTTCCATATTCTTTCATTTCCACAGAAGTTCACTCCCACCTTCATTCTTAATATATCTCCCTCCTTATAGTTACTCAGAACACTGCTCACAAAATGACTGCAGGTTACTTATTTTTCCAATACTTACTGCAGATTGCATCCTATTACTGCCTCCTGCACATGCGTGCACACGCACTCTTAACACAGGCACATTATTTTATAGTACATCAGCTAGTCAGTAACTTTCTGTGATGATGATAATACTCATTTGCTGTATAATACAATACACTACAGTACCCATTAGCCACATGTATTAGTGTTCTCCAGAGAAACAGAGCCAATTGGAGGGAAGGTAGATAGATTGATTTACTCGGTAGAGTTGGCTTATATGCTCATGGAATCTGAGCAGTCCTAACATCAGAAAACTGGTTCTAGTAGTAAAACTAGCAGTAAAGTTGTAATCCAAGTTTTAGTACAAAGGAAGAAGTCTGATACTCCCAACTCAAACACAGTCTGGCAGAGAGAAAAAATTGTTTCATTCTGGACCTTTTGTTCTTTGCAGGCCTTTAATGGATTCAGTGAGTTCCACTCACATTAAGTAAAGCAACCTGCTTTCCTCAGTCTGCTAATTCAGATGTTAGTCTCATCCAAAGACACCTTCACAGACATACCCAGATACAATGCTTAGCCAAATATCTGTGTACACCCATGGCCCAATTAAGTTGACACATAAAAGTAACCATCATATTACATATAGCTACTGACTACTTAAAATATGGCTAGACCAAGGAACTAAACTTTTAATTTTTATTTAATTTTAAATAGTTTAAATGCAAATTGGTATACATGGCTAATGCTTACATTTTGGATAACACAGAGATGATTGTCTCAGTCTTAAAATGAAGCTTTGATTGATGTTGTAGGACAATTCAGACTACTTCTCCAGCGTCTAGCTTTCACTTGGTCTTGAAACTCCTCCTCTAGAACACAGCTACCATGTAAGAAGTCTAGCTACCCTGAGACTGCCATGCTATGAAGAAGTATTAAGCCAGTCACATGGATAGAGTGCATCAAGAGGGAGAGAGAGCCCTGTCTGTTCTAGCTGTCCATCCTGTCTGAAGGAGATGTGAGTGAGGAAATCGTACTGGACCTCTCACCCAGGTTATTTAGGCCTTCAGGTGAGCTGCCACCTGACCCTGACCCAATCAGGCCTTCAGCCAGAGCTGCCAGCTGACTGACCATATGAAAGCCTGCAAATAAGCAGCTGCATCTAACCCTGCAGAACCATAAGAGAATAAGTTGTCATAAGCCACTAAGTTTTGTGGTGATTTGCAAAGCAATAAATAACCAGAACAGAAGTATGCTAAGGAATCAAGGTTTCCTATTTCTCTGACTTACCTAGATCCCAGTCTTACTGTCTGTCTGTTTCCTACTTTCTTGCTTTTTGTGCTATAAACTTTTATGCTCAAAACTAAATTTGCGGTTTGGGAAAGTCACAGTTAATCTGGCCTTCAACTATCTTGGATTTCTGACCTCGTTTAAAAGGCTTTCCTGCTTTCAAATAGAAGAGCTTGAACCAATGTTGACTTTTCCTTCCTTACTAAAGGCTATAACCAGTTAATTTAACACCCTTTTGTTTTTCAACCACTTGTTTTTTAAAAGTGTAATCCCAGAAGACATATACCTGTGCTTCAATATCAACATTTTGACATCTGATTTGCTACCAGAAGGAAAAGGATGGGAGTGGAGAGGGATGTGTTGGATAGATACTCAAATGATACCTGCTTATAAAAACAATACCTCTTATATGTAACAAGGCTAGACATGTAGTCAGATTCTATGTCAGTTTTTAATACAACTTGTAAAAGTGCTATTTAATGTAATTATACAGCCTTGAACTTTATCCCTAAATAACATACCTTTTATTTCAGTGAGCTCAATATTTATAAAAATTTAAAAGGAATTTACTGTTAAATATCATGAAAACCAGTGTGTGGGACAAGATTTACCATTATGATTGTTTTTAATGAGCATTTTTTTGTGATTTACACTAAGAGGGCAAATTTTAGATCTGAAAATTCATTAAGACTCTGCTAAATCAGTGATTTGTTTTTTTTTTCCTTCTAGTTCTAAGAGCAGATAGAAGTGGCTATGGATAATTCATATGATTTCAATCAAAAAGGCTCATGTAATGGAATTCCATCTGAGAAGAAAAACAACTTCCTTGTATCAGAAGATCATGGACAGAAAATCTTAAGTATACTACAGAATTTTCGAGAACAAAATATCTTTTATGATTTCAAAATAATCATGAAAGATGAAATAATCCCATGTCATCGTTGTGTGTTAGCAGCGTGCAGTGACTTTTTCAGGTACTTTACCTTGTCTGTCTATCCCTCAGACTTTATAATACCACTAATTAAGTTATTTTTATGACTGTAACTCAGTTTTTCCCCTACAGAGCATTGAATAGTAATCTTTAATACTTAAAAAGAGATACTTAGAACCTAGATTAACTAATGATTTTTTTTTAATATGAAAATATAAGACTACCTTTTTAAAATCTCAAGTCTTCCCAGGCTAGGATTTCCCAGAGTTAAACACTAGTCCTTATTGTTCTGGGGAAAAAAAAATTGTTTTGATGTGGGGTCAGTTTTGTTTGGAAGGTCCCCTGCACTGTATAATTTGGCAAAAGAGGAAAGGATAGACTGAGCAGAAATGGAAGCCAAGCTCAAAGAAAATGAGGCATCTGAGAAAAAAATACATTTTGGACATGAGTTGTATTCCATGGATTGTCAAGGAAGAGGGACTCTAACGTGGAAAGTTTCTCTTCTCTTTAGCCTGGATCGTCCTAAAATGGGGAAAACTTCCAGAGCCATTTCTGGAGAGCACTCAACTTCTTCTGATTCTGAGTATAATTTGGTTCCCTAAGTAGATCATCCTACAAGGAATGCAATAGTCATAACACTGTTAGAATCCACTATAATGACAGTGGGTTTCTGATTCTTTGTGGTTAAGGGTCAGACACATGACCTTAGTATTGTGGTAACTGTATGAAGGTAATACCTCTGAGACCTATTCATCAGACAGGAAAACCTCTCTTGCTGACATCCTGACCTTCAGCCCTCCTAGTCATACTTTAATAAACTTAAATCCTAATTGCAGTATTTTACATTAAGTTCAGTTTTAGAAACAGTTCTAAGTAAGCAGAGTTTAAATCTCTAACAAACTTGATAAAAAAGAGCAAGATATAAGATATAAAAACATCTAGATACAAGTTAACTTATACTGGTTTTAATCCTTAATTTAACTCTTGTTTTACTACCAACATATAATTAAACTATACCCTTATTGCTCAAGATTAAATCTTATAGCTGGTACTTCATTCAGCAAGTTTATTGATATCTATTACTCACTAAACACTTTTTTTTCACCTTTTTTCTTTTTGATTGCCCTATGTGGCATGTGGGATCTTAGTTCCCTGACCAGGAATTGAACCGTGCCCTCTGCATTGGAAGTGTAGAGTCTTATCCACGCAACCACCAGTGGAAGTCACTAAACACCAGTTTCTCTAGGGTTTCCTGCTTTGAATTTGAGAGTGGCTCAGTGCTACCTCACAGTTTACTGAGGACAAGAGGAACTACACCTTTTACTAGCTTTTTGCATCACTAGACTATATGTCTTTATGTATTCTTTTCATTTCTTCTCTCAGGTAACCTAAGTTATTCTTCAGCCTCCACTGGGGCCCTAACTGGCCTTATGCTCGCCCATTTTCAGGTTCCACTAGTTTCTTTCCAACTCCCTTTGAATTCAGTTTTTCTTCCAAGGAACTCTTTTTGTTCCCTTATCCTTCATATCACCTCTTCATTAGAGAAAGCAGTACAGTATAATAGGTAAGTATTTGACCTCTTAATGCACATGCCCTAAGTCTAAATTCCAGATCCACCACTTATTAGACTGAACTTAGGTAACTTAACCTCTTTATGCTTCAGTTTCTTTATTTGTAAAAAAATTGCTAAGCTAAGTCACTTCAGTTGTGTCCAACTGTGTGCGACCCCATCCCTGGGATTCTTCAGGCAAGAACACTGGAGTGGGTTGCTATTTCCTTCTCCAATGCAGGAAAGTGAAAGTGAAGTCGCGACCCCATGGACTGCAGCCTACCAGGCTCCTCCATCCATGGGATTTTCCAGGCAAGAGTACTGGAGTGGGGTGGCATTGTCTTCTCCTGTAAAAAAAATTAGGATAAGACAAATCGGACCTAGTTCATAAAGTCATTAATGAGAGTTGAATGAAATAACATATATGCAATGATTAGGTCAGTCTTCCCTGGTGTCTTGGTGGTAAAGAACCCACCTGCCAATGCAGGAAAGACAGGTTCAATCCCTCGGTGGGGAAAATCCTGTGAAAAAGGAAATGTCAACCCAGTCTAGTATTCCTGCCTGGGAAATCCCATGGACAGAGGAGCCTGGTGGGCTGTGGTCCATGGGGTTGCAGTGAGTCAGACACTACTCACTACATAGAGACTAAATAACAACAATTGATTAGTGTCCACTACTTTCAGTTATTATTGTTGAATTAAATTGTTATTAAGATGAATTTATTATTATTTATTGTTACTATCATTAGCTGAATTGTTTTTAGCTGAAATTATTTCCAAATCTAGCCAAAAAAGGAAATAATTTGGTTTGAACATGCAGTCTTATTTCCTTATAAAGTTTTCATGTTAACAAAATAAGAGGTTCATGTGAGTATTTGAATTGGCAGTCCTCTACTCTTTATGTTGGAGTTATGCCTACTGGTTAGCTTTTTAGGGATCTGTTTTCAATTTTTAAAAATTATTGTTAAAACAATGTTTTTTAAAATTTGTACCTGTTCTGAAGTAAAACAAATAATGGTTTTATAATGACCTGAATCTTTTATGATATATAATATTTTACTAAATGAGTATATAGTTCACATAAAAATGTGTACAAAAGTAGTTAGAAGGTCTGTATAATTTACACTCTTGTAGCTAAGGCCACTAATTCATAATTTTGTGTTATGATCAAACTCACTGGAGTATTGGGCTATAAACTTACAGGAATATTGGGGTATATAAAATTAAACATAGCAGAAAAGTACACAGTGCATGGTAAATGCCCTTTATAATGTTTTTGGAAAATGAAAATTATGATTGAAATGTAAAGTCCCTGGAGACAAGATTCAAAAGGAAGCACACTATTGTATAACCAGTTTATGATAACACAGTAAATTTGAGATAGAAGTTAACTGAATACTTTAAAGATGAATAGGATGAAGTATAGAAATATGATATTACATGTGTCTTCTCAGAGACAGTGTGGAAGCTGATGGTAAATTAGAAATGCATACGATTTTAGAAAACTTTTTCCTTAAAATGATAGTAACAGCTAATATGCTCAGTGCTAAGTTGCTATGCAACCCCATGGTCTGTAGCTCTCCAGGCTCCTCTGTCCATGAAGTTTTTCAGGCAAGAATACTAGAGTGGGTTGCCATTTCCTACTCTGATAACAGCTAATATTTTGCATCAGTTAGCTTAGTTGTTCCTCTCATAACTCGGTGGCATAGGTACTCCTAGTATCCTCATTTTTAGAAGAATTTGAAGTATGATTAAGTTGTTACCTCCCCAGGGTCACACAATTATTAATAAGGCAGCCCTGTTCTAGAGGGCACACTCTTACTATTAACTTAAACTGACTATAAATATCTTAATAATCTAATATGATTATCACCACAGGTTAATGTTTCTAAGTTGATCACATTATTGAAATATCCTGCACAATGTGGAACATGCATAAATTTTTGTAACCATGTTTATTTGTTATTATATTAAGAAGTATTGAATATCCCTAGTAGAAAGGGACTTTATCATCATTTTCCTAAGGAGTGTTCTGTATCTGGAAGCCTCCTCATATTTTTCAGGTGGACACTAGTGTTTCTTTAGTAGCTTTAGTTACTCTCTAGAATAGGCTTTAATAATGAAATTTAGTTTTCCCCCAGAGTACTACTTGGGGGCTTCCCTCATAGCTCAGATGGTAAAGAATCCACCTGCAGTGCTGGAGATGTGGGTTTGAAACCTGGGTTGGGCAGATACCCTGGAGGAAGAAATGGCAACCCACCCCAGTATTCTTACCTGGGACATCCCATGGACAGAGGAGGCTGACGGGCTACAGTCCATGGAGTTGCAGAGAGTCTAGCACACTAACCAGCTAAGCATGCCTGCAGAGTACGTGGGCACTGCCCACAAAGGTACCCTGGACGTTACTGGTACAGAACAAACCAGTGTTAAACCAGGCCCAAAGTCAGGTGACCTTTAGTCTTAATGAATGTTCAACTGGCAGTCTTTAGTTCTTTGTGTAGCTGTTTCTTCTTTAACCTTAATTTTTATTTGCAGTTCTACTGAAAACCATCCTAATGAGTTTGTTTAAAGTGTAAAAATTAGTAACTCTGGATATAAAGTTAATTAAGGATGGATGGCAATACTGTTCTTACCAAAGCCAGTTGTGAAATATATCCTGCCTAAACATTTCCAAATAATTTATATTTTTGCTTAAAGTGAGCCAAAGATGGTCCCAGTTTCTTAGAGTGGTATCAACTTTACCAGGTAGGATAATGTATATGTAAGTTTATCCTATCCTATATTTTAAGTAATTTTAGTTATCACTTGCAGAGTTGGTACTAAATTAATCCATAGGTAAATAAATTCAGCCATTAGATTTTACCCCAGTTTTATGAATAATATATAAGAACATCAAATCAGACACAACATTTGAATCTTTTGATAGCCTTTGGATTCATTGCTATTAGCTGTAATCTATATATTTTTCAGTGTGGTATTGTGTAATATGTGTATTTTACAGATAAATAATATGGTCTTGATTTATTAGGATGCTTTAAAAATGTATTTTGTAAATATATTTTATATCAACCTAAGACTGAAGGAAACCTTTTTAAGGTCATATTGAAAATTGGAATAAAATATTCCTGTTTATTTGTTCTTCTGTGTTCTTCATTTTTGCAGGGCTATGTTTGAAGTAAACATGAAAGAAAGAGATGGTGGAAGTGTTACCATTACTAATTTGTCCTCCAAAGCAATAAAAGCATTTCTTGATTATGCCTATACTGGAAAAACAAAGATAACAGATGATAATGTGGAAATGTTCTTCCAGTTGTCATCATTTCTTCAAGTTTCCTTCCTATCCAAAGCTTGCAGTGACTTTTTAATAAAAAGTATTAATCTTGTCAATTGTTTACAGTTATTATCTATATCAGATAGCTATGGTTCTGCCCGTTTGTTTGACCATGCTTTATACTTTGTTCAACATCACTTTTCTTTATTATTTAAATCCAGTGATTTCTTAGAGATGAATTTTGGAGTACTGCAAAAGTGTCTGGAATCAGATGAATTAAATGTTCCTGAAGAAGAAACTGTACTGAAAGTTGTCCTTAGTTGGACTAAACATAACTTAGAATCAAGGCAAAAACATCTGCCTTATTTGATTAAAAAAGTAAGATTATGTCAGTTATCTGAGGAGACACTTCAAGATTGTCTACTCAATGAAGAGTGTTTACTCAAAAGCACAAACTGTTTTGACATAATCATGGATGCAATTAAGTGTGTGCAAGGTTCTGGTGGACTTTTCCCTGATGCTCGACCATCCACAACTGAAAAATACATATTTGTTCACAAAACTGAGGAAAATGGAGAAGCTCAGTATACGTTTTGCTATAATATTAAAAGTGATTCATGGAAGATACTGCCACAGTCACACCTGATTGATTTGCCCGGATCTAGTCTATCTAGTTACGGGGAGAAAATATTCTTGACAGGTGGTTGCAAAGGGCCATGTTGTAGAACAGTTCGGCTTCATATTGCAGAATCATATCATGATGCCACTGATCAAACCTGGTGCTACTGTCCAGTCAAAAATGATTTTTTCCTGGTATCAACTATGAAAACACCAAGAACCATGCATACATCAGTTATGGCTCTCAATAAATTGTTTGTCATAGGTGGAAAAACTAGAGGATCTCAGGACATTAAAAGTCTCTTAGATGTTGAATCTTACAATCCTCTTTCCAAAGAATGGGTGTCTGTTAGCCCATTACCCAGGGGCATATACTATCCTGAAGCAAGTGCATGCCAAAATGTAATTTATGTTCTTGGATCAGAGGTAGAAATTACAGATGCTTTTAACCCATCACTTGATTGCTTTTTCAACTACAATGCTACAACTGATCAGTGGTCTGAACTAGTAGCAGAGTTTGGGCAGTTTTTTCATGCAACGTTAATTAAAGCTGTCCCAGTAAACTGCACACTCTATATATGTGACCTTTCCACTTACAAGGTTTATAGTTTTTGTCCAGATACTTGTGTTTGGAAAGGTGAAGGATCTTTTGAATGTGCAGGCTTCAATGCAGGTGCAGTTGGAATTGAAGATAAAATTTATATATTAGGTGGTGATTATGCACCAGATGAAATCACAGATGAAGTTCAGGTCTACCACAGCAGCAGGTCTGAGTGGGAAGAAGTTTCACCAATGCCAAGAGCCTTAACTGAATTTTACTGCCAAGTGATTCAGTTTAATAAATACAGAGACCCATGGTTTTCTAATCATTTCTAAAAGTAGTGTATGATTAGACCTTCTAAAGCAATTGCAATTCTAGAAGCCTGCAGTAAATTTATTAACTTTAATTATTGGTAAAAAGGTCTTTACAGCTTAGTAAGATAAAACACACCTTCTATAAGAGAATTACTGTGAATGTATACCATATTAGAGAAATACTATGAATGTATACTATATATTAATTAGCAGTTCCCAGAAACTTTAAAATACACAATACATTTTACCAAAAACTGTAATTTAATCTTGGAGAATCTAGGATATTAGTATTTTCATATGTAAGTAAAACTCAGGCTTTGATGTTTTGATTCTTAAAGTACTTTATCCATGACAGACAGACAGACAAATCACACTTCACAGAACTGTACAATGTTAATGGGAGAAATCTCTTTAGATAGTAAAAATGACATTTATACTATATTATATGAAGTGTAAAATATATTAGAGGTGAGAATCCTATCTTGTTACTACAGGTATAAGAGTAGTTGAATTCCTATTTTTTCTGAACATTGGTTAGCTATTTTTAAGCCCTTTCTTTTCTTTCACTATTTTTGAGTCAGAAAATTTTCTGAAATGAAGTGTATTTCCCCAGCCTTCTAAAACTGTACACTAAACATGTTTTAATTTTTTGATTCAACTCTTCAGCAAGAGTATAGTGTACTGTAATGCTGTTGGCAGTTACTGAAATGTCTTAAAATTTGCATATTCTATAAGTTTTCAGTGTTAGTTGGTCTCAGTTTTTGCAGGTATTTTATTTTCTGGCTCAAGCTCAGTAAATTAACTTTCTTGATTTATTTAGTCAGTTCAAGTTATACCTGACCTGATTTTATCTTGACATGTAACCCTTTTAGTGATGTTCTTGGATTCTGGGATGGTGGTCTTAAAATACTTTTCCATATCATTGCCGGATTCCAATGTAAGCGAGGACATAGGAAATCTGACCTCTAGATAAGTGGACCACTATTGCTGGCATTTCTTAAACTTTTGCATGTACACATTTGAGTTGCAGTAAGAAATTTAAACGTTTCAGTTAGCACCGTGTCAGTTTTCTGTGATGATGTATACCCTCTGTAAAGTGCTGTATATGTTTTCTTCAGCAAATTATTCATAGTGAATTATTTACTAATTTGAAAATGTGACTGGGCTTTTGGTATTCATAGTAGATATGTGAAACTTGTAACTTATTAGATGTTTAATCATCTCTAACCCAAACAATGAAAGAGAATCATTCTTGTTCTCAGCTAAGATGATTCTGCCTTGTAAGAGGATATGTTTCTTTAATCAGTTTTAACGATACAGGTATTTTAGGTTTTAGGACCTGATTTATATCTCAGGTAATGTGTAGATTATATTTCTCTGGAATCAAATGAAGTTTCCCATACACTGTAGTAAATGTTAATCTGTTGTAAATATTCTTTAGAAGTGGAAATGTACCTAAATGAAGGTCCTTTTATTTTACCATATAAATTTATGCAATCATAAGTTTCAAATATATTTTTCAAAATGAAACAGAATGTTAGACTAAATTATCATGCAATTCCAAAATCAGGGATGGTCCATAATCAGACGATAGTTGCATAAAAATTCTGTAGAATTGGTAGCTTCCTCCCTACCTACCTTTGTTGGTTCTGCCCTTCTCTCTCTCTCTCTCTCTCTGTGGTTGTGTGTCTGTGTTGGGTGCGTAAGAAAGAAAGAAAATTCAGTGGACGCTTTGTGTGTTAATGTGGCACTTTGAAAAGTTATTTGAGAAAGACCATAACACAGTGGGTGACTAAATTGTTAATTTAAGCATATATAAACAAATATTTCAAGAAAGGAGCAACTAAAGCAAAATAGAATCCCTTCCTGATGTTGTTTCATTATTATATCTTGATTTCTACCATTCCTTTCAATGGCCATTGATTTTTTAAATTTTATTTTTACTTGGAGGATAATTACGATGTGGTGATGGTTTCTGCCCCACATCAACATGAGTCAGCCATAGGCATATATACGTCCCCTCCCTCTCGAGCCTTCCTCCCACCTCCCTCCACACCCCACCCCTCTGGGTTGTCACAGAGCAACCACGGCCATTGGTTCCTGATGTTACTAGAAGTATCCTTGTTACCAAGGCATAAGTAGCTCCCTCTGCATTTGATTTAAAACACTTTTCAATGCACAAGGCTTTCTTGCCTTAGTTTCCACAATTGCTGCAGGAAACTTGTTGATCGTTTTTCACTTACTGTCACCCCTTTTACATCTGTACCTGAGTGTTCTTCATCAGTTATAACTTAAAAAAGTAGTCTGTCTAGTCATAAAACCTCAAACTCTTCCTTTACTTACTGTTCTTTTTCCTTGACATTATAGCAGTCTGTGCTGGGCTTGGCTCTCTTGGCAGTTAATCTTGTTCTCTCCAATTTTGCATCATCTGGTAAAGGGAACACTTTCATTTGATCTACTGAATGGTTATTGAAAAATGGTTCTGGGTGTTCAAAATCCTCAAGGAACTCAGGCACATGTACACATGGTCAGTGAGTTAACTGGTATCATTCTGATCTTGCCAGTCACTTTGGCTTCACCAAGAACCACATGTATTATTTCGGGCCTGGCCCTCTAATTCTCGATCTTTTGCAAGTCTCAGTGATCTTTCAAGTCTATTCTGCTACCCAGGAGGAGCCGTTTTTCCTGTCTGTAAGATTAGAAGACAATACCCCTTTATGACTTCTTAGTCTTTTTTTTTTCTTTAAAGTTTCCTTTCCTTTCATTATCATCCTTCAGTCTGCTGCATTGTAAGAGACAAAATAATTAAGCTCATTATCCAGATTGCTTTCATTCTTGTAGCAAAATTCTAAGTAACATTTCCAAATTCTTTATCATTTGTCCTGGTAAATGGATTATGCACACACACAAAAAATTGCAATATTGTAATATCCTAGTGTCTGCTAAAATTGAAAGTAGTTATGTGTCATTATTAAACATAAAAAATTAAATTCAACATTTATATGATATCAAAGTTAATGAGCATTTTTAGAACTATCTTCAAACTTGATTTATAATGTAGAGCACCTGTTCATCTATTGCCTGTGAAACAAAAGCAGTATGAAGAATATTTGCATAGTCAAATTAACTGCATTCATATAATAATGTTGGTTTGGGGAGGGAAAGCAGTCTTTATCACAACATTATTCATTATATGTTACTCTTGAAAGCTAGAATATTATTTGAGAGCAACCACATCCTGCAACATGATTCCATTTTCCCCAGATACCAAGAAGAGCAATTGAATATGTGTTCAGGGTACCTAAAAGAAGGCATCTGACTTGAAAATCAGAGTCAAATATAGAGGGAGACATCTGTTTATCTTTTAAGAGTTGGAAGCAGTAAATGTAATGGTTAAATATATTGTTGAATATACTTTGGATCATCACTCTCGGTTTAATTGGATCCAGTGTTTGGAAACCCATATATTTAGAATTGAATGTGTAAGAACAAAAAATGCCTTCCAATGGGGAGCTCTTAAGGGCAATCTAAAAACGAAGGCTTAAGTTTATAAGGAAGCCAGTTTCTGTTCAATGTAACAAAATTCACTCCACTTTATAAAGCCATATTTGGAATAAGACTAAATATCAAAAACTGTCATGTGGCAGAGAACTAGCCCAAATATATTTTTACACAGGAGTATACCAAAGATTTATATATTTTATTTGCACAATTTGATTGTAGTATTTTTCTGCCTTTTGACTAATTGCTTCCTCCAGTTTGTTTAGCATTTAGGCATTCTGAGTAACTTGATTTTAATGTCTGCATGCTCAAGATTTCAATAAGATGTGAGTCATAAAATTACATCATTTTAGGAGCATTCTTGTTGAAGGAAATTCTTTTTTTTTTTTTTAATCACTTAGGAAAAGCTCTGTAAAGGGTGTTAACATTTATAGTGAGCTGCTAATAGGGATTTCTCTTTCTGTTTACCATAAGTGCACATTTGTTTTACAGTGAATAGAAACTGAAAGACCATTACCTAAAATTTTGTCCTGAATTATTATTATTATTTCACTGCAAATGTAGCTATATAGCTATATGTAGTGAATCTAGATAAAGATTATGTGACTTGGAAGATATCTTTAAATCTTAAAAATCTATGTTTACAAATAAATTATATTTGATTAACATGGTTAAATTTAATTTATAAATAGGGGTTTTAATCACAGCATGGTATTATACACTGATCAAGAGGTAACTTTTCTAAATCATAGATTCGTATTCAAACTTGAAGATAACCTTAGAATCTAATAGAGCTTCCAGCCTTGTATACAAAACCCCTCTAAATTCTAAAATACCCTTGATAGGCGATTTTCCTTTCAAATTCTAATTCAGTTCTTTTCAGGGTAAAGTGCTCACTACCTCCATTTTTAAACAGTTCTATTAGAAAGTTCTTCCTAAGGTTGAAAGCAACTCTGCCTCCCTGTAATAACTTTCAGTCCTTGATCTTAGGTTGCTGTCTCCATAAGTATTGGAAGTAGCATGTCTTCCATTCCTCTGAAATCAGTTCTCACTTTCCTTCTTCTTCAAATGCTTAGCACTTTAAAACTTGCCACAGTGGCCAAGGTTACATACCTTCTACGTGTACATTTGCCTCAGAAAAATCCATCCTAGCTCTGTTGCTCTTTTGGTGTGTTGAGCATGATGAGCATTGCATGATCTTGTAATAAAGCAAGCACTTCATTCCCTTAATCAGTTTTTATAAATTCAGTGTGAGCTAGAGCCTTGCTATTTCTCCTTCTATTGACTATCAACATAATCACAAACATGTTTCCTGGGAGAGGAATTCTGAAGCCAGATTTTAATGTCTTTTGATCATTTGTCATTAGATACGGTTTTCAGAATTTTAATAATACTTCTAAAAGAGACTAAAGCATATACAAAAAATAGAAACCAAAGCAGCCACTAACTAGCTCAACAAATTATGTTGTTGGTTCCAAGGGTAACAAGGTTGCCGAATTACTTAAAGAGTACAATTCTCTGAGTATTACGTTGTGGTGTAAATACTTGTTTACATATCTATCTTATTTAATTGGAAACTCTTAGAAGTAGGGATATTATCATTTCTGGACCTAGCAATTAGCACAATGCTTGCATATTAATAAGGCATCTAATAAGCTGACATTCTATCAAGCCAATATATGAAGCAAAATTTATTATAGTTTTATTGTTTCTGAATGGGTTAGACTTAACTGCATATTTTGCAATTTTCATGTACAAAAAATTGATATACATTAGGATTTTACATTTAAGAATGCTACACATTGTACTTTAGTTATCAATGTATGTGTTAATTCTTTTTGTAATATTTGATATCCTTATGTTAAAAGTCTGGGTTAGCTAATTTATACAACTTTTTGTTAGTATATGTTGTATATCTTTGTTAGTATATGGAAAAATTAATAATGAAGTACTTTTTATTTGAGAATGAAATTGCATTACACAGTACATTGCCCACATTTGGAGAACATGTATTGTTGGTTGTATAGTTGTGTTGTATATGTATATTTGGTACTTGGAAGTGAAATTATACTTTCAAAGTAATTCATTGAATTTTTTTAGTGCTTAAGGAATATTTGTTCTTGAATTTTAATTATAATACTCTGTGTTTCCTTTCAAATGCAGTAATAGATAAGACAGTGACTGAAAGTATCATTAGTAGACACACAACCCCCATTTCCCCTACAAGAACATGATAACTTTAGTGACCTTTTTCCCACAGGGGAGACTGTGCAAAGCTACTTAACTTTGCAAACATAAGTGATTTATTTCATTTTCTATTAGTAGAATATGGGCATTTACCATATGCTATGAGAAACAAAATCATTTATTTAACCATGTTAATATGTAGTAAACAATTCAACTATATAAAATAATTAATGTATTAAAATGTATCTCAGAAAAGAATATATATTGTTTGTATTTATTGTTACTAGAAATAAAAAAGATAGAAAAAGGTGAATGCTAAGGCTCTCATTTTCTTGCCACCCCCTTCCCCAGATGCCCTGAGTGGCTCTGATGAATTTCAGAATTCCTGAGTGAGTGGTGGTGGAGGTGGGGTTACTGTTAGAAGGGGCTCTGTAACTGTGGAAAGAGTAGCATAGACTTCAAGGTGGACATGTTGGGCTGAGTGAATAAAATGCAGCTAGATTTGAAATGAATCATAGATGGGGAGAGACTTTGAGGCTCTGCATGAGCTAAGAAAGAACAGACGACATGTCCATGACCCACAAATGAAAGCAGTAGAAGCTAGCTGAATGTCCAAGGTCAGGCACTGTCCAACCCTACTTCAACGGGACATCAGCAACACAAGAATCAGCCAGGTGCCAGGGTATAAACCTCCTTCCTACCTAATATGTACAGGTGAGCTAGTGAAGAGGTCCAGAGTCTGAGAGACTAAATCATACCATAACAAGACTTATTTTAAGATGTTTACATTAGATGCTGTCTTAATTCCAGTTCAATTTTTCCTCTTTCTGGGTAGGCCCATTTGCCATCACATTTCTGGTTTTCCTATGTGACCAGTTGTGATTTACTAAACAACCTTGACTCCCAAACCCTCTTGTAGAATACTGCTCAGCTTGCAACAGTTGATCTATGGAAACCTAACCCTTAAAAAATCAACTGTTCTATCCCACATACTTGCATAACGCTGGTTGCTTTCTCTTCATTTCTTAGGCTCTCCTATCAAATCCTTGGTCCAACCTTACTGCTCCAGACTTCTTCCCTTATTACCTCCAATTCTCCATGTGCTTCCTTCCAGCTTCTGTAGTTTACTTTGCCAGCAAATAATGAATGACTCACCTCCTTCTCTTTAATCTCTGTAGTTAATTTAAAATGCAAGGATATTGGAGAGAATTTGCTTGTTACCAGGTTGTTGGGGATGCTTCCCCGAAACCAGAGGTCTCTCTTGGTCAGCATTTTAATACTTGCAAGTTTTCCTCTTAAGTC